GCTTCATCCCTGGGGCTCCCAGGCAGCCTCCGAACAACCAGGGAGCGCCTGGCAACTCTAAGCTCGAAGATAAGCAGGAAACAAGGCTTTTTTGGAGCGGGGGAGTTTCCAGGCAGAAAAGAAAAGCACAAAAATGGCACAATCCAAGTTTTCCTGTTATGGGTCCCCCCCTCCAGCCATCATAATAATAAATAATAATAATAATAATAGTAATAATACCCAGCTCTTAGCAGTAGCAGCTCGCAAGGCCAAGGTCCCCAGCAGGCCAGTGGCAGATCCTGGTCTATCTACTAGGGAACGCTGCCTCTTTTTACAATGGGGGAATGGGGCTCCAAGCCACTCAGCAGCTGGCAGAAGCAGCACGGTTGCCTTAGGCTTGTGAGGTTCAACCCGCCTGGGTTTCCCAGATGTAGCCGGTGTCCTTTAGCTCACGGTTCCGGGGGTGTCTGCGTTACAGGAAGCAGAGGTTTAACCGTCAGGATCCCCACTCACTCCCAGAGGGGAAGTCAGCACCTATGCTCTGGGATATTCCAATTTTTCTATACATGGAAACATGTGTCCTGGAATCAATACAGGATTTTGCGTGCAAGTCACTAGCACCGTCCAAATTGGAACCCAGGCCTTTTGGCCAACAAGTTGTGTCAGCACTGTCACCGATATTATTAACTCCTCCTGGCAACCTACAAAACGTATTGATTGAATTGTTTCTCCCAGTGGAGCAATTACAATTGGACATACATGAGTCGGTGATAAGAACCAAGGAAGCCTTAATACCCACAGCTCATCTTATCCAACAACAAATAGAAGTAGAAAGTGTGCAAAGAGGGGTGGAAACACCTTAGTGGGCAATCCCAGAGGATGTTACTCTCCACCCAATAGTCCAAACACTCGGTGTAACACTGATGGGAATACAAGCCATAACACTAATTGCACTGATGGGAATGTGTTGCTACACGCAATGACAAATCAAAAAAGCCAAATGACAACACCTGGTTTAAAAAAAAAAAAGCTAGCTCTCAACACTGCCATAGTAATGAATAATCATTATAAGAAATAATCAAATGCTTAATGTTTTAAAAGAAAATGTTTGGACTTATACAGTATGTAAGGGCATCTCTATACTTGCCTACTCTGTAGGGTGTGTTAAACCAAATGTGTCCTTGTAGACGGTCTGGACTCACCCCTGCTGCACCTCCTGCTGGTCATCTCAGGAATTAGCTCTTCCAGCATCCTGGAGCGCCCCCTGCAGGCTGGTGATCCACCTGTCCTCTGGCCCCATGTCCCTCCCGGCCCCTTGCTGTGGGTGCTGCCCCCTGGCAATACCCATACACATGCTAGGTCTCCCCTCCCAGGGGAACCCCCACCCACTAACCCCACCTCACCTCAGGATAAGGCCACTGCCAGTCATCTAGCCCCCACTCCCTGGGGCAGACTGCAGTATAGGCCACTCTCCACTGGCAAGGAGGGTTTGGACCTGCTGCCTTGGCCTAGCCCTGGGCTGCCCTCTGCAACCCCCAGTACCCCTTGGCCTATTACCAGACCACAGCCTGGGGCTTTCCAGGCTGGAGCTCCCCAGCCCTGCTCCACTCAGGTACTCTGTGTCTAGCTCCCTGCAGCCAGGCCCTTCTCTCCCTGAAGGCAGAAAGAGACCACTGAGCTGCCTGGCTCCCAGCCTCTTATATAGGGCCAGCTGGGGCCTGATTGGGGCGTGGCCGAGCTGTGGCTACTTCCCCAATCAGCCCAGTAGCTTTTCCCTTTGCCCCAGCCCTCTGCCAGGGCTGTTTTAAACCCTCAGGCAGGAGTGGGGTAACCACCCCACTACAGTCCTATAAAAATGTATAAGGTACAAACATATACACGTATGCATATTATAATCCTGACCAAAGCCCATATCATCAACCACCAACTAAGTATAAAGGACTCCTCATGTCACCCACAGATTACACCCCACGCCTCAGTCACGGTCCACGGCCTAACATTCCCAGGTACACTATAAGGGACTAAAAACAATTGAAAAATAAAATCCGTCCATCAGTTGTATGAGAGAATGTGCAGACCAAGGGATAGATGGGGAATCTATTTCTGGATGACTGGAAAAAGGCTAATGTAATGCCCATCTTTAAAAAAGGGAAGAAGGGAGAATCCGGGGAACTACAGCCTCACATCAGTACCCGGAAAAATCATGGAAAAGGTCCTCAAGGAACTTGGAGGAGAGGAAGGTGATCAGGAACAGTCAACATGGATTCACCAAGGGCAAGTCATGCCTGACCAACCTGATTGCCTTCTATGATGAGGTAACTGGCTCTGTGGATATGGGGAAAGCGGTGGATGTGATATATCTTGACTTTAGCAAAGCTTTTGATACGGTCTCCCCCAGTATTCTTGCCAGCAAGTTAAAAAGTATGGATTGGATGAATGGACTATAAGGTGGATAGAAAGCTGGCTAGATCGTTGGGCTCAATGGGTAGTTATCAACGGGTCGATGTCTAGTTGGCAGCTGGTATCAAGCGGAGTGCCTCAGGAGTCTGTCCTGTGGCCGGTTTTGTTCAACATCTTCATTAATGATCTGGATGATGGGATGAATTGCACCCTCAACAAGTTTGCAGATGACACTAAGCTGGGGGGAGAGGTAGATATGCTGGAAGGTAGGGATAGGGTCCAGAGTGACTTAGACAAATTGGAGGATTGGGCCAAAAGAAATCTGATGAGGTTCAACAAGGACAAGTGCAGAGTCTTGCACTGAGGGCGGAAGAATACCATGCACTGCTACAGACTGGGGACTGACTGGCTAAGCAGCAGTTCTGGAGAAAGGAACCTGGAGAGTACAGTGGACAAGAAGCTGGATATGAGTCAACAGTGTGCCCTTGGAATGGGTTCCCTAGGGAGGTGGTGGAATCTCCATCCTTAGAGGTTTTTAAGGCCTGGATTGACAAACCCCTGGCTGGGATGATTTAGTTGGGGTTGGTCCTGCTTTGAGCAGGGGGTTGTACTAGATGACTTCCTGAGATCTCCTCCAATCCTAATCGTCTATGATTCTATGAATGTGTGAATGGAAAAGTAAGGTGGCCACATAACAGTGTTTAGCCCACTGGGCCATCTTCAGTCCATGCATTATGCTTTTCGAGGATGGTAGATAAACATCCTCCACATCAAATGGTAAAAAGTGGGGGAATGTAGTACTGAGTCATAAGCCCTTATATCAGAGGTCTGGTATGAGGCAGGACCTGCTCACAGAATCTCTCAAGAACAGGGCTGATCTTGCAGAAATACACATTGCTAAGAAGTGTTAATCACAGAGCGCTCACACAAACACAGCCTGATATCAAATGATACGAGAACATACCGATATCAAGGATGGTACAAAAACATTCCTCAAGGGTAACAGGAACACACTGACTGCTCCTAAAAGATAAGGTCAGGAGGACAGTACGCAATAGAAATGTTTTGATCAAACCAACATGTACAAAGTGATGGGTAATAACTAGCCACGTCAGGGGGCAGTGACTATGTCAGAGGCAGTACGTAACTTGTTTGTATCAGGGTATAAAGATGTATCTCAGAGGGAGTATCTTTGTCCAGCCGAGGGGGGAATGGAAAGTCCCACCATTCACTGAGCTGTGTCCATTGTCATGGGCATACATGTCTTAGTATCCTCGTAGAGTCTGCCAGGTGTTATTACCGTGCTTTGTCGACAATAAACCTGGCCTGGTGCCTTCGTACCTTAACGGATCTTGTGGTCATTGGGCGGTTTGCTCAAGGTATCTGCGCAGAGCTGGGGCAGCACACAGGGAGAACACACACACACAGCTGAACGACTAAGAACAGCATCTGTGCAGCACCCAGTGCAGTGGGGGTCCCCGATCTCGCTAATGGGAAATGGGTTCCAGATTCGCTCGCCTGCACCGGGTGCTGAAATGCCCCTAATAAGTCATGACAGGGAAGTGGCTGGGGGGACTTTGCACTTCTCTAGCGGCCAACGTTGGTCATTTCATTCCAAACTGCTCTAGGCTCTCAGGGTTAAAACTTGCTGTCCTGCATGGCCTAGTGGGTGGAGCATGAGACTGAGGCTCAGGACACCTGGGTTCTGTTCCCAGGTGTGCCATTGGCCTGCTCTGCGGCCTTGGACCAGTCCCTCCCCCACTGTGTGCCTCAGTTTCCCCTCCCAATCTAGCCCAAGCTATAATCTGCTGTGCATTAACCAGAGCAAATCCAGAGTGGCAGCAGGACTTGGGGGGCAGTAAACTGACTCCCGGCACCACTGGGCTCATTCCCAGCTGGAGCAAGTGCTCAGAGACCTGAGTCAGCAAACCCCTCTGGCCTGGGGACCTGGGTGCTGCCTGTCCCCACCGTCCCCAGGCACCTGTTCCAGGGGCTGGCTGGATGCAGGCCCTGAGTGGGCTTGACCCCTTTCTGCCCATGGGAAAGGGGCTAACTGGGTGGAACAGGGCAGGCTGCAGTCACATGCATCTCACCGTGCCTCAGTTTCCCCTCTATCCCCGGGGTGGAAGGGGCGAGAGGGGGACAGTAGAGTGTGCGCTCCTCCCCTGGAAAACGCCAGGCCTCGCAGCCAGCAGCTTGGGACCCAGCCAGAGCAGGTTTGCCATCTGCCGCCCCCGCTCCCCGCCTCCCAGCCCCTGCGCAGGCGAAGGGGAGCCCCGAGGTGCACAGGACACAATGGCCCCATTGAGCGAAGGGAGGCGGCACTGCCAGGAAAAGGGAGGGGGGCTGCGAGGGGCGGGGCTTCCTGGCAGGTCACTCCTCCCAGACCTGGGATGGAACCCAGGAGTCCTGGCTCCCAGATCCGCTAGACCCCCCCACTCCCCTCCAGCTCCGCCTTCCCCTCCCACATGTGCTGTGTGTAGCCTGGTCCCCCCAGTCCCCTGCCCCCCTCCTCCGGGGGGGGGGCCTGCACAGGTGTCCCGGAACGGCCCCGCCCCCTGGGCAGCCCGGCCCGGCCCCCCCCCCGGCCCCGCGCCCCCCCCCGGGCCCCCGGCTCCGCCCGCCCCAGGTGAACCACCGCCCCGCTGAGCTGCCGCCTGGGCCGGGTGACCCCGGCGCCCCCCGCCATGCCGGCCCCTGCCCAGCCCCGGCCAGCTGCATGGTGAGCCCGCGGCCAGCCGGAGCCGCAGGGACGTGTCACGGGTAAGGGACCTCCCGCCCCGGGCACTGGCCGGGCATCGCGCCCCGACAGTCCCGCCCCATGAACCGCGCCCCGGACACCCC